ATGTATCATCCTTATATCCTTAAGTTTTTTTTTTACATTTTTTCTAAAGCTACTCTTGACACAGTTCTCTCATGTATATTTTCCCTTTTACGGTTAGTTAAAATGTCGTAAATTTGTATTCATTACCTACAATACGTATTTTTTAAACAGTCAAACTATACGTAGTACAACTAGTAGTTAAGGTTAGGATGGTATCGGGGCCATCTTCGCAATAAAGCAACAACAATGATTTTTTCAGTTTTAGACTACGAATCGTAAGCTCACTCAGCCCTATTGGGTACCCAGCATTACAATCTGATACAGGTTTCAGCAATACAAAGGTGGTACAACGGAGATGAATACATTGATGGAATAAGAGATAGCAGCTAAGCTTAGCGTTTCGTCCCGTCTGTTAAAAAAAAAACGAAAAAAAAACACCTTTTGTTTTTTAAATTAAAAAATAAAAAAGCCCCCTCCGTGTTACTTAAAACCCTGTCTCCTCTAGCGTATCGAACGGTATAAAAAATTAACGTGTATCAATAAAAAAAAAAGTTACACGAGTAAGAGAAACATCTGCCCTTTAACTTTCGTTCATTGTAAGGCCCGTAACTCTCGTCTCTATCTATCTCTCGCTTCTCAGTTGACGTCCCTTACAGCTCGCTTTTTTGAGTCGTTGTTTTGTTATTTTTTTGTGGGCGTTCTCTTGCTACACTAATACCTCGCTAACTTGAGGAATAAGTTGTCTCCCTTTATCAGCAGATTCTGGATTACGGGACTTGTCTGCAAGTTTTTTTTTATTCCACTTTTGCGGTTGTCTCCACTTTTTTTTGTAATTTTCTTTTCGCGGTGCGTTTGTCCTCGCATGCGCCGCTTTGTCGCCAGAGTGCCTAAAAAAATGTGCGTGAGTACCTGGCCACTTTGTTTGAAACTTTCGGGTAACAAAGTATATTCGTTAACGATCATGTCTAGGGACAAGGACTTTGCTGTTGAAGAGCTAGGGAGTGGAGAAAGGAAGTGGGGTGTAAGGAGAATTTTCAGGGAGGGGGCAGGAGAGCATCGGATTAATTTCAGATCCCCATGTCTGAAGATGAGTCGTGGAGTCGGCAAGCAATTGTACTTGGAGTCACCAGACGCAATACACTTGGGGCTCCATGTGGACAGGCAAGTGATGTAAGCCGCTAACAGCTTCCGGCAACACAGGATATACTCATATTTTGCAATATCTCTATATATGTATATATAATCTGAGCTATTGGCGACATATATATATATATATATATATATATATATATATATATATATATATATATATATATATATATATATATACATATACATATTGGTCTGTATCTATGTATATATTAGCCAAAAAATATATATGATTAAATATAGGCCTATGTATAGATGCATAAATATAGATCAATGGGTATACTATATATATATATATATATATATATATATATATATATATATATATATATATATATATATATATATATATATATATATATACATACATAGTGTTGCGGAGATGAACTATAAGCCGGAGTCCCGTAGAGAAGACGGGTTTAAGCACCGTCTTATTCTAAACGTTTTCAAGAAAAGCGTCTTGTTATCAGCGGCTGTAGCTACGCCCGTTGTGACTGCGGTGAAGTGTGTGTTTACGTCGAACAAGATTGAAACTAACACTATTACAGTTATCGAGAGGGGCGTAAAATGTATTATTTGAGCCCCCCCCCCCCTTCCTTGTGAGACCTCAGACAATTTTCGCCCCGTTCTGCGACGTTGTCAGTTATCAGGTGCACGTTGATAGCCGTCCCATCTTTTGCAAGGCGGCGGTGAGCAGAACAAATCCCAACATCGCTATGACCCACTGGGGTAGTTTTAAACACAATCACCTTAACGCCCCTGATTCTACTTTTTTTATAGTTATCTCCCGCTTTCAAATTCGTCCCCTTTAGCGTCGTAATCATCTTTATTTTCTTAAACTTTGATAAGTAGCAAAATCAAAAAGCACCCAGGGTCAATTCTACTGCAAAAAAAAAAAAAAAAAAAAAAAAAAAAAATTCCTAAAACATCAATGGTTTTCAATAAAGTAAATAACAGTCGAATAACAAAAAAAAAAAGGATGGCGTCGAGAGGGGGTGGCGGGGGACGCCCCGGGGCCTGCTCTCTTGACTCGGGCGAAGTAAATCTGTGAAAGAAACAAGCCAACAAAAGTGGTAAATTCAATTATCGTTCGCAAATCATCGTAACCATGTCGGCGGAACCACACCATCGACCACAGCAGAACCACCAAAGAAAAGAGAACCCGTTCGTCACGCTTGCTTAGTGCCCGCACTCTCGTTTTCACAACCATAACGAGATCTCGAAAAATCTCGTCGAAACTAAAGCGAGAACTTGATTCAAGGGAGGTGAAATATATAAAAAATAGTAAAGTTCGGAGCTTTTTTTATGAACAGCCGTACCCCGCCCGGGGCGGACTATACACGTAGTTTGTTCAATGCGTGGAGTGGTGTGCACAGTGCGCGCATGCGTGGAGAGAAAGCAAGTTGTATTGAGGGGAGAAATTGTGATCAAACAGATCAGGGTTGTAAAGGGTTCATTGATGGAATGGTTTGATTCACTGGTGTTTGGTTAGACTAGGGGGGCGGAGTGCGGGGGGTCAACGGTAGAAATGGCGTTAGGTGAATATTGGGGGTGTATGTAGGGGTCGACGGTAGAAATGGCGTTAGGTGAATATTAGGGGGAGGGCGTGCAGGGTCAACTGTAGAAATGGCGTTTGGTTAATACGGGGGGGGGGGGTGGACGTGCGGGGGTCAACGGTAGAAATGGCGTTTGGTTAAAACGGGGGGGGGAGGGTGGACGTGCGTGGGTCAACGTTAGAAATGGCGTTAGTTTAGCACGGCGATGAGGGGGGGGGGGCGTGTAGTGATCATTAGAAGAAATAGCGTACGGTTAAAATAGGTTGAGTGCAGGGGTCAACGGTAGAAATGACAATAGGTTAACACTGTGACTGGAGGAGGAGGGGGCGAGAAAACTTTAAAACTAACTAATTTTTTATTTTACAGATTTGATTTAATTTCACTTTTTGAACATTGAGCAAATGTGTTCCTCTACTCTATCCGGAGCAAAAAAAAAAAAAAAAAAAAAAAAAAAAAAAAAAAAAAAAAAAAAAAAACGAAGAGCCCCTAGAATGTTTAGGCCTATTAGGATCTGAGGTTATGTTGGTGCAAAATGTTTTCAATTTAAACAATGAAATATTCACTATTTAAAAAAACATGCAAAATAAACAAAACAAAATCATAAAAATAAAATAAAATAAATTACAAACGTAATTCCAATTACAGTTATCAACACCTAATCTGATTCACTTCAAGCAACAGACAACCTAATTAGATATCCGATTCCCCATTGGATGTTTCACGTTATATCCATACTCCTGGATTACTTTTCCCGTCCGCGGTGACATCCAGGCACACACAAAGACACTTTGGGCGACTCTATTTATGACAGCGAAACTGTATCTATTTTTATAGCCAGCCTCGAAAACAAAAATATCTCTTTCATAAGCCCGTATAACAATGGAGGTGAAACTTACCGTATCATATCCCGGTCACATGACCCACGCCCCCCCCCCCCCCTCTAAACACGTGATCTTTGCTGTGACACGGTATATATAAAAATGTATACTCGAGTTTAGAAAAGAAAGCGTCATTTTTTTTTTTATAATAAGAGTACGACAGGTGAGAAGGGAGAGGGGAGAATGGAGGTGAGGGGAGTGAGATATCGAGTACGTCTCAAGTGAGGAGAATTGCGTCTCCATGTTTCTCTTGGTTTCCAAATATTTTTTTTTTTATTTTTTTTTTCTTAAAGAAGAAGAATAGTTTTCAATACAGTTTCCTTGTCTTCCCAATTGCTGTGTGTTTCTTTTTTTTTTTTTTTTTTATTTTTTTTTTAAAGAAAATGTTCCCTGTGATTTGTCGACGTATTAAAAAAAAAAACCCAGACAAAAAGTAGATTAAAAAGATACCTACTGTCATCATTGCGGTGTTATTTTTATACAGGTATTAAATTTAATACGCCACTTTTTTCGTGGTGAATTCTTGTCTTTGTATCACTTTGTTTTCTTTGACATCTTGCGTGTGGTTGTCTACCTTCCCCCCGTCCCCCGTCCCCGTCCCTCCCCAACCCCTCATATTTCTGCTCCAATTTTTTTTTTGTTTTAAACTAGATCTAGTCTTTGTCTTCACGAAACTTTATCAGATCGAATTGTCCGCACATAACTATTTTTAGAACACGTCATGCTTCTTAAGCTGAGTGTGTGTGTGGGGGGGGGGGGGGAGATTAGAGTTATATATTTAATGTACTTTTACTATTAATAGACAAATTGAAAACAAATACAGAAGAATTTTTTTTTAATTTCAAATGTTTGATAACAACGTATGTAGTCCAGGAGCTAGAATATAGTTGCTTCTGTTGCGAAATCAGAAGGTGTGTTTGTGTGTGGGTGGGGGGGGGTAGAGTTGTCTAGAACACACTGACCACGCCCCCCCCTACTGAGTGTGATAGAGGGAAGGTAACCTCCCCTGTCATGAGGTGATAAAATGCTAGTGTGGTCAGTTCTAATGTATAGCCGCTATAAACCCCCACCCCTACCCACACACCCCCAAACAGACCCCGTCAAATAATGTACCCGTCTGAGCTAGGTAGTCACAGACGGAAGTTCAAGATCTGCTGACCTTAGTTCTACAACTGTTCTACTTCACCTGCTCCAACTGAAATCTGTTTCCAACCATGGCTTTCTCGACACGCCTCTCTTTATTATAGCAGCATTTCAGTTCCTTATTTAACCAGGATTCGTCTTAAAACGACTAGATCTAAACCTTGTGACTCAAAACAAAGGACAGAAACGTATAAAAAAAACGTATTTTCAAAAAAACAACAAATGTATAACAACAGTTCATTTGATTTTGTCAACAAAAACAGTCACAGTGTTTTATTTATTTTTTGTTTAACAGACTGTCGGTGTGTGGAGCTCGGATCATATCCCCCGGGGGACGAGGTTCGGACCCCTGGTGGGGGAGAAGGTGGGACCATCTGTACAGGTGGACAAGTTCCATCCCAAGTTTCATTGGCAGGTAAGGATACGGTGTCACGTGATCTCTATAGAACGATAGGCGAAATGTACAGGTCTCATGGACGTGTTTTAGGTCATATTGACATGTGTTTTAATGTCATATTGACGTGTGTTTAGGTCCTATTGATGTGTTTAGGTCATATTGACATGTGTTTAAAAGTCATATTGACGTGTGTTAGGTCATATTGATGTGTGTTTAGTTCATATTGACATGTTTAGGTAATATTGACATGTGTTTAGATCCTATTGACAAGTGTTTTTACGTCATATTAAAATGTGTAGGTAATATTGACATGTGTTTAGGTCATACTCACATGAAGATGTGTTACGGCTATGTTGTTCCTGGCGTGTGTCAAGGTCACACTCACACGATTTGAGGTCAGGTTGACTAAGTCGTGCGTTTAGTTTATTTTGTCCACGACATGTGTTTGTCATACTGTCTATGACGTCTGTCTAAGTCCTGTTTACAGTTACACGTGTTTAGATCACGTTGACAAACGCAATGGGTCACGTTCCGTATGAACGAATCAAGCGTCGTGCGAACTTGAACTAGATCTGTGTCATCAAGTGTAATGCCAGACAAAAGTTTAGACGTGCCCACCGGTTACGTATTTCAGTATTGAGCTGTACCCACTTGTAGTGGAGTCACAAAGACCCCCTAGTGACTCCCATACCACTGACTCTCAAACGGTTTATTATGGGTTAACCAAACCGTGTTGCATTTCTTTTAACCTTCCGCCAAATTAAAAAAAAAAACATACAAAATGTCAATAGCACATGTATAAAAGTAAACGGTTTTACAAATTATACAAACGGCTTTAAGCTTTTCACAGCAATAGAAAGCCTTATACAATTCAGATGTCGGTGGGGTTTTTTTTTTAACCCAAAAGGATACGTTATCAAAAGAAAGAAAATGTATTTAAACTAAGGAAAAAAAACGAAAAAAAAAACTGCTTGGTTATTATTTTCTCGACAAAAGATTGAGCAGTGAGCAGCCCTGATGTACTGACGAACTTATCATATTGATGAATTTGAAAATGTCCTATTACTTTCTTTAGAAGAGATTCCTAGATTTTTAGTGTTTACTGACCCGGATGCAGAAATATAGTCAAGAAGTATCTTAAATATTCAAAAGTAATCTTTAACTCTAGTGTATATCATTTATTTTTGCATTAATTGTAAAAAAAAAAAAAATGCTCAAACACCATAGACAAGAGAAAAGTCAGATACTGAAATCGCGAATTTATAAATCAGTACCACTTTGTTTAAAAGAAGTCTAGATTAAACAAAAATAAAAAAAAACCCATTCTCGTCTCAAATTAGAAATATCGGATGAATTAATTCGTTAACTTCATTTTTTTTAAATAAACACTCAAAATTAAAATATTTTCAGACGAATTATTTCGTTAAACTCATAAAAAATACACTCAAATTAGAAATATTTTCGGATGAATTACTTCGCTGAACCCATCACTGGGAAAAAAAATGTCGGCACTTTGAAGATTCACAAAAAGTGAAACGTTTTAATTCACCTCTGATAAGACCTCTGGATAAATCATAATTGTAAAAACATTTTCAATTTTATCCTAACTTTTTTACCATTTCTTTACCAAAGATTGTGTATGTGTTTGTGTCTATTAATAATTTTTTCGAAAACTCATTTATTTCAAGAAACGAGGCGCACCTGCCCTTTAAAAAATGTCTTTTAAAAGTGAAAATTGAATAAAATCTAATTATTTATTACACACGTTTTGAATAGTTCAATTTGGTTGTACAGAAGACACGGATGTTTTTTAAAAAATGAAATAAAGTGAATTGATGTAATTTCTAAAATGGATTCTGCATCATCTAAGAAAGTATTTTTAATTGGTAATGCTTGTTATTATATACTAATACAACATTTTTACTAACCCGCTATTCTGTATAACGTTATATAATATCTACATAGATGGCCAGTCTTGTGGCGTCATGCGGTCGGGTGTCACTCCGTGCGTTTTTAGGGGTCTCACCCCACCCCATCCAACAATTTTTTTTTCTTTTTCATTTTGGTGTCACCCTTTCACCCTACCGTGTTATTATTTTATTATCTATCCGAATAAAACATATTTTCAAAAGTAAATAGTACAGCTTCATTTGGTGTCACCCCCAAATGATGTCACCCGGTATGGATTGCACCCCTTACACCCCATTTCCGCCGAACACCCGAGATTGGCTCACCGAACCCCTGGGGTTCGATTGAACCCAGGGTAACGAACCACTGCTTTACACTATTCATAACCCATATATCACAATATATCAAATTGATGTCCCTTCATATCTTTAATATCTATATATATAATTCTCCTTGCAGTCCCCTCTCTTCCTCTCTATCGCTACCACCCCCCCCCCCCTCTCTCACATGGTCTGGTGAGCTGTGGTTCACGCTAAATGTTTACAAACCGTAAAGACGGGTTTAGTGACGGCTATTAGGGACCGATAATTTAGTTTGAAACGATTTTAACTAAGGGGAGGTAACTAAGAGGAGGCTGCTTTCACGAGGGGATGGGGCAGGGGTTGGGGGAAAGGAGGGTTTTAGTGTTTTAAAGCAAATATTTTCAGTGGCAGCATTGGTACTGTCGAAATCACAAATTATGAATTACTGAAAAGTTGAAAAAACAACTAAATAGCGGCGTATGATACGCCGCGGGTCGGCTCGTTTAATAATAAATAATATACACGGTCTATATTAAAAGAAAAAAATAATAAAAAAATAATAAAGCCACATGATCTGTCTCCCATTCCCAGATCTACAAAGATGGCGCCCTAGACCACGTGGTACAGATCACCGACCCTGACCGCTGTAGCTGGCAGCACTTCATGAACCTGGCGCCCTCGGAGCAGGAGCAGAACGTCATCGCCTGCCAGCACGGCGCCCACATCTACTTCTACACCGTGCGCCCCATTCAGCCCAACACGGAACTACTTTTCTGGTTCTCGCTGGAGTATTCGGACAGGCTGAAGAGTTCGCCTTCAGTAGCGGAGAAATGTAAGTCACAATTCTGGGATTTTTATTTCATTTTTTTATATACTTTTTTTTTCTTCTTCTTATTCGTTCTTAATTCTTGGATTTTTATATCATTATCATTTTTTTTTTACTTTTTTTCGTTCTTTTTCGTTCTTAATTCTTGGATTTTTATTTCATTATAATTTTTTTTATTTTTATTTTTTTTCTTCTTCTTCTTCGTTCTTAATTCTTTGTTTTTTTATATTATTATCATTTTTATTTTACTTTTTCCCTTCTTCTTCGTTCTTAATTCTTCCACTATCATTTTTATTTTTTTTATTTTTTTTCTTCTTCTTCTTCGTTTTTAATTCTTGGATTTTTATTTCATTATAATTTTTTTACTTTTTTTCTTCTTCTTCTTCGTTCTTAATTGTAATATTGTAGGATATTTCCTTTTCTTGTAAACATAATTAGGAGTGAAAATGTTATGGGCTATATATATATAGCCCTTTGACTCCGAATTCAGCCTGCTTTCCTTCTGGATTTACTTTCACTCAGAACAATCTGCAAGGCAGCTTTTGTTTTATTTCGGAGTTTTCTCTCCTAGAGAGAACTTTTGGAGTTAGGAGTCATACGCTCTCACGTACGAGCACGCTTTTTTCCTATTAAACATCAGACATGCTAGTTTAATTACCGTGTAAAGACCGTATAATGAACGTGTAATAACCGTGTAATGACCGTGTAATGATCGTGTAATGACCGCATAAGATACAATTGTAACGCTTCAACTCTTGGTTTGAAAATGCTATCAAGAAAGGAAGAGATCCCATTAAAACGCGTCTCTTCTTTAAATACCTTTGCCTTCAGACAAGACTTGTTTTCACTTTTGAGCTTACTCCAAGATGACGCTACTGTCATTTTTGTCTAGACTTTAACCACGCTATTTGTGCTGACGAAGACCTTGGGTCGAAACGTCCACATGTACCTGTAATTGTCTTTAATTTTCATGATACTAAAACTACCCGTTTGAAGACTATTAACAAAATATATTCCCCTTTTCGTGAACATCTTCGATACCAATTCTTTAACATAAAAAAGTATTCCATCCTTCAAGAATCTCTTCTACACAAAGTCTTCAATATACAAATATTCAAATATACCATGCTTCAAAAATTCGTTCTCAACAAAATCTTCAATATACAAAAAATTCTATATTTCAAGAATTTCTTCTCAACAAAATTGTCAATATACAAAATATTCTGTTTCAAGAATCTCTTCTCCACAAATTCTTCAAAATACAAAAAAGCGAAAGGCAGACAAAGAGATATCCTTTTAAACTCAGCAGACAGTGGCTGGTGTATCTAGCCTAATACACCCAGCCAAGAAAATAACAGTAGCACATTTATGTGGCGAGATGATTGCCATGATACAGATCTAACCATACAACCATGAAAAGGGAGGGGGGGGGGCACTACCCGTAACTGGCGTCAACGACGTTCCGCTTGCCTGACCACCAGGTCGTGGTGTCGGTGTCGGTTTCTGACGTACATTCCATAAGCTATGACATAACCACAGCAACCCCCCCCCCCCCCCCCCGTCCTCGATAATGAGGTTTTAATGTCATACACGTTCCCAATTAATGTGACACTTTGTAAAATGATATTTTATTTGATTAAACATTTTTAAAATTTAAAAATAGTTTTTTTTCAACCAATTCCCCCATAGCACCCCTACAACCCACACACATATCAGTCACCTCTCACACACCTCTCCCACACAAAACACACATTGAAAATTGAAATAACATTCTGCTGATAACTGCAAAATCGTTCCAGTAAAGCATTCAGTAAGGGACGTAATGTGTGCGACACCAAAATTGGGAAAGTGATATCCCTTACTTGATACGTGATAAAAATCTGTGCTCATATATATATATATATATATATATATATATATATATATATATATATATATATATATATATATATATATATATATATATATGGAGAGAAAGACTATGATATAGGCATAATGAAGACACAGTTACCTTTATAGGCCAAAACTTGCGATAATTTTAACAGCAAATCGAAATGTTCAATGCAGATAAGGTAAATATCAAATTTAAATTTAAATAATTCAACAACTCGACAAAAGTTGATTTATTCAGGGAAATCTTTTTTTTAAAGTCAGTTTTAGCACCAAAATCTAATTTTTTTTTTTAAACTTTTATTTAAAAAAATATAAATCTTAAAGATTTGTAAAACTGAGTTTTTACTTTCTCGTATATACGTAGTATAGAGAAAGTATTGTAATCGTGCAAAAAAAAAAAATCGAGATTTTTACAAATCTCGACGTTTTACACCTCACTGATACGGAAAAACATAATTTTGCAATCTTGTCCGTATGTCTGTGTGTGTGTGTGTCTGTCTGTCTGTCTGTCTGTCCGTGTGTAAACACGATAACTTGAGTACCGTTACAGCTAGGTGGATGAAATTTCATATATAAGTATTTTATCAAAATCGTAGATCCGTATCAACTTTTGAGCGATTTCCGATAACCGGAAGTGGTACTTTTCCTACTTTGAATTTTTCAAAAGCCTATAACTTGAGTACTATTTCAGATAGATAAATGAAATTTCACATGTAAGTAAAAGATCTAATTCTCTACCTTCTGTTAAATTTTGAGTAATTTCCGTTGACTGGAAGTAGTAATTTACGCTACTTCCGATTTCTCAAAAAACTAATGTAAATTTTTAAAGTACTAATAATATTGCGCACTATTATACGCGTTTTTATTCGGCGTTTGCTTGGTGCGCAATGTTTTTTTTATGAGATTCTATTCTATTTTTAAAAGTTTAAGTATTTAAAATGGATTAAAAATCATAACTATATCCCCAGTTACCATCCCCTGTTGTTTTATATAAGAATATTCGAGAAAGTTTAGGGGAGATCACTACCGGTTTATTTTGTTACGCATTTATTTTCGTGTTGGATAGCTATATTTTTGGAAACTATGGCGTATGGATCTGTATAAAATGGGAGACAACATAGTTCTTGGTTGGTTATGGTCGGATTGTTTCGTGTTGGAGATGTTAATGGGGAAATAGAAAAGCAATAAAAATGAATGACTTTTTATTTTACAGTTTTTAGTGGATAAATCCACATAAAAAGAAAAGTATAAATGAAAAACATAAATTTTGTTTTTGCTATTGTTTAAGGATGTAATCTTCAAAATAGAATAGTAAAATATGATACGGTGAGTTTTACTTTAATAGGGGTGCGCTTATGAATAGAATTTTTTATCAAATGTACAGAAATGATTGATGATTATGACCTAATGAGATTTTTTTATTGTCTTTGCTTCTATTTAAATGATAAACAGACACAGAGATAAAATGGTTTTTTTTTCTTTCTTTTTTTTTTTTAAATTGAAAAAGCTTTTAAAAAGAAATTAATGGAAGTGAAATTTCAAATAGCGCATTTTTGTTTAAATATATTAATTCAAGTTAAATTTTGAATAGCATATTTTCGTGTAAGTAAATTAATGTAAATTATATTTGAATAACGTATTTTGGTCTAACTAAATTAATGGAAGTGAAACTTTGAGACGCGCATCTATTTTTCCCTTCTATCGCGAGTGCGAGGCGAGGAATGATCTATCTCTTTGGCTGAAATTATCCGAGGTCCTAAAAACATAACCCGACCCCCTCCCCATCCCGTTATCAGCAACGGTCCCACGTCTGTACGCCCTGCTCTAGAACCGACTCCATCCATTTTGCAAGTGCTAGCCTTTCTCCCACCCCCACCCCCACCCCCACCCTAAGCAGCAGGTGTCAGCAGACGGCAAAACTTCCTCTCGTGCTTGATATAAAAAAAACAACCAACTCGAGGGAAACAGGAAATCGCGAGTCAGCCATGTTGGAGCGTGTTTGACGGTACACCGTAATGGCTTTCCATGGCCGCCGTTCTCGCGAGATAAAGCGCCATTTCTCGCGACAGATATCGCGGGAGTCTGAAGTGTTGGTAATGCCAAACTTTCTGTTGGAGACAAAAAAATATGTTGAAAAAAAAACATTTTCTAAAATTTATAAACGTTTTTTGCTAGTTGTTTTAGTATATGCTCACAAATTGAAATACCAATAGGGCTTGTAAGTAGGTCACCAACTTCTTATCATACTATCCAGCTGGTATTTTTCAAACCAATTGTGAATATGTTTATTAAATCGGTAAGAAAGAAATAAAAGTTACTTACGCTATTGCTAAGTTATTTAAAACCGTAAAAGCTGATAATGATCTTTGAGAATTCACCTGACCATGGCTAACGAGATTTCAAATTTTAAGTAAGAGAAGCAAAGATACTTACAAGCCCTATTGGAATATTAGTTTGAGTCGGAGAAAGTCTCTCTTGGCATATCAGACAGGCAATTTTCTTTAGATATAATGTCTCGGAATATGTCACTTTACGATTGTAAGGAAAGTTCCCTTTCAAACCTGACGGTCTACGGGGCAAGTGAACTAGAGTTCACTTGTTTCTGTGACCTCGGCATGTGAAGCCTTTACTTACCCGAAAGTATCAGAGCTGGGTGGACTCAGGGATGGTCTACTGACTTGAACCCGGATTCGAACTCAATACTTAAGGGTAAGCAGTCCAGCTCTCTACCGCTAGGCCATTCCGTCCCTTTACGGTTGTGCTATATGAAATTTACTTTTTTTATTTATATACTTTTCAACGTATAATTCTATCTACCGGCCACCATAACTTTACTGGTCATAACTCTACCGGCCATCATAACTCTACCGGCCATCATAACTCTACCGGCCATCATAACTCTACCGGCCATCATACCTCTACCGGCCATCATAACTCTACCGGCCATCATAACTCTACCGGCCATCATAACTATACTGGCCATCATAACTTTACTGGCCATCATATATCTATTGGCCATAACTCTACCGGCCATCATAACTCTACCGGCCATCATAACTCTACCGGCCATCATAACTTTACTGGCCATCATATATCTATTGGCCATAACTCTACCGGCCATCATAACTCTACCGGCCATCATAACTTTACTGGCCACCATATATCTATTGGCCATAACTCTACCGGCCATCATAACTCTACCGGCCATCATAACTCTACCGGCCATCATAACTCCACCGGCCATCATAACCCCACCGGCCATCATAACTTTACCGGCCATCATAACTCTACCGGCCATCATAACTCTACCGGCCATCATAACTCTACCGGCCATCATAACTTTACTGGCCATCATAACTCTACCGGCCATCATAACTTTACTGGCCATCATAACTTTACTGGCCATCATATTTCTATTGGCCATAACTGTACCGGCCATCATAACTTTACCAGTCACAACTCTACCGGCCACAACTGTACCGGCCATCATAACTTTACCAGTCACAACTCTACCGGCCACAACTGTACCGGCCATCATAACTTTACCAGTCACAACTCTACCGGCCACAACTGTACCGGCCATCATAACTTTACCAGTCACAACTCTACCGGCCACAACTCTACCGGCCATCATAACTCTACCGGCCATCATAACTTTACCGGCCATCATAACTTTACCGGCCATCATAACTTTACCGGCCATCATAACTTTACCGGCCATCATAACTTTACCGGCCATCATAACTTTACTGGCCATCATAACTCTACCAGCCATCATAACTTTACCGGCCATCATAACTCTACCTCCTGTACCCCAATAACAAACGTCTCGACAGAGTTCCTACAGGAAATCCACGTTTATCTCCCCTTGTGACGTTTATTGCGTACTTAAACGCGCTTCTGACTTCTCTTAGTTATCTCATTGTATCTCATCCTCCCCCACCCACCCACCCCCACACACACGTCCACCCCACACCCACACACCGACCTACACCACTGGGCAGGGGTAGTTTTTGTTTACGGGGACATGTTAAATGTATCTAGCAATGATGAACGAGCAACGATAATGTGCGAATATGGTGGGAGTGAGCAGAACGACCATTAATGTCATACATAGCTTACGCCCGCGCCCTGTGCGGCGGGCACTCCCGTGGTGGCGTCTCTCCATACAGTCCCATTCATACAATCCCATACTGTCCCTTTTTATACAATCTCATTCACACAATCACATACTACACTTTTATACAATCCCATTCACACAATACCATACTATCCCTTTTTATACAATCCCATTCGAAAAATCCCAAACTATCCTTTTTTTTACAAAACCATTCACATAACGTCATGCAATCCTTTTATACAATCCCATTTACAAAATCATATACTATCCCTCTTTATATAATCCCATTTACACAATCTCATACCACCCTTTTATACAATCACATTCTTAAAATCATATTCATACACTCATATATTATGAAACATATTTTATTCAAAAAATTTAAATCAATTAATTAACATCATTAATTTAGAAAATTCATACATCTAATCTGTCATATACAATCCCTTTCATACAATCATATACATACAGTATAGTGTATTAAATTCGAAGAACGCAATCCCATTTTTTGCAATTTGATTAAGGGCATGGGCGGGTGATGAGTACCAACTTCCTTATTTCCGAGTCTAAAGATGTAATACTTGGCTAATAGTTATAACTCAAAGAGTTAAGCATAAAAATATTTTTTTTAATTTTTTAAATCTTCCGTTGCCATGGTGACGGCGGCCATATTGGATTTTATTGACGATTTTTAAATGGAAATAACTCAAAAATGGTTTGTTCAAATTTCATGAAAGCTTAATATAGTCTGCAGACACATGTGTTTAAGACTTCTGATAGATTACATTTTCAAAAAAGAAAATAGTTTTTTTTTTACTTTTTTTTTAAAAACATTACTGTAAAAATTTCATTATTTCGTCCAATTTTTTCACTATTTCAACAACAAAATTTTTTTTTTTACAAAAATTCCAAAAGTGTTCTATCAGTTTTCTTTGAACATATATAAAGAGTAACTGGAGCAAATTTAGTTCAGTTCTGATAATTATTAACAAAGTTATTTCAACAATTGTACAAAAAAACATCAAACTGAGAAAAACGCAAAAAACTAACAAAAAGTTGCAAAAAATGAACATTTATCGCTGTATGTCACTAAAATCGACCACATTTATAGCCTGAAGTATGGTGCTGCTGAGTATATTCCTTCTGAGCTTGTTCGGCTGTTAGTTTTCTTTTTTTCTGGCGCTGTTTGTTTTACCGAGAGTTGTAGTAAAGCTGTTGTCATGGCGTCTTTTTTCGCGTCTTCACTGGGTCCTCGACTATGGTTTCCTTCTTTTGACAGCAATGCCATAGCATGCCTGGGCCCAAAATTGAATTATGCTATCACAGAAACAGCAGTATATTTTGCATGGTCTCATGTCTAAAGCCAATTATGATAAGACGTCTTTGTTTATTGTGAAAGACCTTGTTCTGGATTCTTTTGCAGTTGTATACTTACGGTTTACAACATTTTTATTACTGCCACACCATGCTTGAAGCAAACCCTTTACACTGTTTTCATCAATAGTAGCCACTACATCACAGTGTGCGAGGAGATGTATTGATAACATCAAGAAGCAAATCACAGTCGACAATAATTCTGCACGGCTGTGGTTTACAATTAGTACTACTAGTACTAGAAGTAACAGTGCTTTCTTCTGTCTGTAAAAACTGTGTCTTACATTGCCGCAGTTTCTTAGTAAATGTGCATATTACATCTGCACCAGTGCTTGTCTGAATAGTGCTAGATTTAGTAGAGGTAGCTGCAATCAGTTGCATTCGGACGAGCCCTAGCTTTAGTAAATTAGTTAGATGTGTGTATCTATTTTTAGCGAGTATTTTGTTCTACGCATTATCGAAAGAGAAACAAATTAAATCGTCTCACTGCTTATGATAATTCACACAAACTAATCTAAACTGTTAATAGTATATTTAATTGAAATAATTATATGTTAAAATAATGTAAGTATTTTACAGAAGCTTAGAGAAACAAAACTAGATCAAACTTAGCAACGCGCTGAAACTAAGGGAATGTTTACTCCCGAAGCGAAACGACCAATCGCTAACTAGCTTCCGCCGTCGTATGCCAATGAAAAAATTGAGGTCAAAAATTTGCATACCGGAAAAACCCGACTGAGTAAAATAAACAACTTTATGACGTAGAAAAATAATCACATTAAAATATGTATTTTGATTGGTCATTTAATTTTAGAACAAATAAAGAAAGGAGGTCACGGCCTTTCCATTGATATGAAACACATTAGGTTTCCGCGAAGCCTAATAGTACTTTTCTAGGTCGAAAAATTGCTATTTTTACCAAAAAATTAAACAAAAGACCATGTACACACTACATTGAACCCGGTTTTTCATAATTAAATACTGTTTTTAGGGTCATAACAATGTCATTTTTAGATTCAACGATGGTTATTCTGTATAGATCAAGTAAAAGATGGAAATCGATGATTTAGTGGATTTATGACGAAAAGTACACCCGCCCATGTCCTTAAAACAATGTTATTTATGCTAACGGGACGGTGTGGTCGAATTATAGAACATGCGACTGCTAACCATAAAGTCTCGAGTTCGAATACGGGTTCAAGTTCGTAGAGCTTCCATTCAGCTCTCATGGGTACCTGAGTTAGGGAAAGTAAAGGTGGCTGGTCAAAATGCTGACCACACTATCCTTTCATACTGAAATGCTCAGTAAAATATTTTAAACAAACAATTTCACACCCGTTGAAAATTGTAAGTTTTACGGTAAAAAAAAAACGAAAATAAAAATTCGGATAACTAAAATCGCGAGCAGACGATAGCGGGTGACCAAAACGATAACAGGTGACCAGACATCTTCAGACGATAACCAGTCGTCTGGGAGAGATAACACGGGCCACTAAACGTGATCGCGCTGTATCGATCACTTATCGATTCTCTCTAGCCACGGATGGACCGGACCTAAGTTAGGGGACGTGTATTCGGAGTGTAACCATGAAGGATTACAATCAGTGGGTACTGCTGGAGGCAGGTGAGGGGGACAGGCCATGCTAGTTATGTTACGTCACTTTCTATGTTTTGGTGTAACTCGGTGGGGTGTCAAACTATCTCCAATATACATACTATATATATATATATATATATATATATATATATATATATATATATATATATATATATATATATATATATATATAACAAATTGATGTGCGTTTAATATTTAAATTTTGTATTTGATTAACTGACTTGTCTTACCTGACTTAGTACTCTTTACTCCATGTAGAGGGTATGGCCTCAACCATTATCTTGCTCTATATTTCATACAGCGACTATTTTAAAATAATACAAATCTTGTGTAGCTTTCTTAAAAACCCTTTTTGTTTTTTGTTTTTGTTTTTTTATGCATTGATTACGATAATTATAATGTTTAAAGGGTTTTTTGTGTCCATTTTGTAAAGGAACTGTGTCATGTATTTAAGTACATGTACACATTCCAGCCATTGCGACACTTTAGCCAATGTGACTCGCCTCCTACACTCCACGCAAATTATGTCAAGTACTAATTAGATCTGAGTGTTCGTAAATCATGCAATAAACCTATGTCCTCCTCAAAACCGTGGTTTACATTATATTTTAAACAAGGAATTGTTGTTTCGTATCTTTCCAGACCTGCCGACAGAAAACAGACTCTACCATCGCATTCAGGGTAACATGACCAACAGCGACCATCTCAACAAACCTTCCGTCACAGATGTGTCCTTGACCCCTCTAGCCCCACACCCAGCCTTGCCCCGTGTACCCCTGCGCCCTACCCCACCCCTGATTCACCCCACCCCGGAAACCCCGGACAACCCTAACGTGGAAAGATTATCTTCCAAATCTCCACCAACTAAACTGACCTTTCCTCCATTCACATACCCGCCCTCATTCCCATTTCTTCAAAGCTCCCAACCCACGTACTTATCCAACCCCCCACCCCCGCTAATAAAATCCAACCCTCCCGCACCTAGTTCAGAAGACGCCTCACCTATTCTGGATTTCAGCATCGCTAAAAGAGAAAGACACGAAGACAATGCAAGACTTACTCCAAAAACTGAACGACGCTCTCCAGAGAGACCTGCACGACCTTCTGGGGAAGCAACAATATGGTCGCCGCGAGATTTACCTTCCCCTGTCAGGAAGGAAATCCCACCTCATAGTTACGACACCCGTGTGGATGAATACAACGACCACCCACAACAGGAGAATTACCACCAGTCCAGAGAAAACCACTCGGGGGACGCGGACAGGAGATCGCCACGGCCGAGTTCTCGGCGGTCCGCACAGAGAACCACCCCACAGGTAAGACGCTTTACAAAACAATGACAAAACACACAGAACCTTAACCAAACCGTAGGTAAGACGCTATTCAAAACACTGACTCCGTTGTAATCTTAAAGTGTGATGCAAGCTGTTGGTTAGACTCTTCTCAAAACACTTTACAAAACACTGACTCCGCTGCAACACTTTACAAAATACTGACTCCGTTGTAACCTTGAAGTGTTATGCAAGCCGTAGATTAGACGCTTAACAAAACACTAAATTAATTGTGAAGTCAAATTGGAATCCATGCTATATAGTATAGGTAAGACGATAGAAACATAAGATACCTTTACAAAAGACTGTCTCTGCTAAAACGTCAAAGTGTGCTACTAGAAGTCATAGGCCTGTCGTCCAACTATGATTTAGGCCAAAGTCTATCCAGCAGATTGAATTCTCTGAAGCTTTCTTGTGGCACTTTCCAATTCGCTTCTTTGGGTATTTCTTTCTCGTTTTCTTTTGCCCTAAAAATCGCATTGAAGAGCCTGTCTATTCGGCCTTCTGAGTGTGTTAAAAATGTGCTCCCTCTATGATCCTCTATTGCGTGGGTGGTAGAAGTAGAGTTTGTCTTTTTAATAACAAGTTTTTTGAAAAAATACTGTGACTACTTTTTGTCGTATTATTTTTTTATTTTAGTCTTTTGTTGAATCCATTATTAGCTATAGGAACTCACAAAATTTGATTGTCCAGTAAAAATACGTAAAATTTCAGCTTGTTTCAATACAAATCCACTATCTAAAAGCAAATTAGATTTATTTTTATTGACATTTTATTTCGTACCCGTGTTTTTACTGTGTAAAACTGAACAGGAATTGATTTATTTCCAGAAGTCTCACAGATCCAGAAGTCCGCACCAGAGTGACGCGCCCCCTATGGCACACCAGAGCGCCGGGTTCAAACCCTTCCAGTCCCCTTCTAAACGAAATTCCGGCATCATCGAGCATCTCTTGCTCAAAAAGATGCAAAAACAGGGACCTCCGGAGTTCCATCCGGGTATGTTTCAACCCCAAAACGGGTTGTTCTCCCACCCGCCCCACACGCCAACCATCACAGAAATCAAGAACAACCCCAGCCCCAAGCAAAACTACACACCCGAGAAACCAAAACCCGTGGAGCGTCTGCCCGAGAACTTTAACCTCTCGCCCTTTCACATGTTTAAATTCGGGAACTTCTACCCTCCCAGTCTGATGATAGACAGACCGTACGGGTCGCTGATGGGTCCAGTTAAACCGGACAACATGAGCCTTGTGTCCAGATTCCTGCCAGCCATGAAACATTCGGCTTTCAACGCATCCATGATGCTACACAACCCGCCCCTCCCCATGCCTGGGTTGCCAGGGTTACCGAACATCTTCCAGATGAACCCGTTCTACCAACAACTCGTGTCCCATTATCCATCTCTCCCAAACTGGCCTGTAGGAATGTACCCGCCTTATCCGTCTGCAGAACAAACCTCTCCTTCAGAGCAAACAGTCCCTCCATCGCCAACCTACCCCGATAAAGGTCTGAACTTAACCAAACCAAAATCAAACAACTCGCATCTCGGCTCGCGAGGCTACAGAAATCTTCCCTACCCTCTGAAAAAGAAAGACGGCAAAATGCATTACGAATGCAACGTCTGTCTCAAGACGTTCGGCCAGCTGTCCAACTTAAAAGTCCACCTGCGCACGCACACAGGTGAGCGTCCGTTTGTTTGTCAAACCTGCGGCAAAGGCTTCACGCAACTTGCTCACCTGCAAAAACACAATCTCGTCCACACAGGTGAAAAGCCTCACAAATGCCAGGTCTGTGATAAGAGGTTTAGCTCTACCAGTAACCTTAAGACTCACATGCGCCTTCACTCGGGAGAAAAACCTTTCCACTGCAAATGTTGCAATGCCAAATTTACCCAATTCGTCCATCTTAAACTTCATAGAAGATTACACACAAACGAAAGACCTTTTGAATGTTCTCAGTGTAATAGAAAATACATCAGCAGAAGCGGTCTCAAGACGCATTGGAAAACAGGATCATGTGTACCGCAAAATCCTCTAGCAGATTTCAACACCTTGTTGAACATGAGCTTCGATGATAACGGCGACGAGAAAAGCCACGATTCCTACGACGAGTCTACCGTCGACTTCGACAACGATATTGAAGTTGATCAAACCGACGAGCAGGAGGACGAGGCTCACAAAGACTCGGAGACCGCCTCGGCCGTGGAAGGTCTGAGCAGGTGGGCCCGTGAGTACCCCAGGTTCCACGCCCAGTCGAGCCCCACGCCGGAGAACAACAACTACCACCACTACCGACACGACGCTCCGGTTTTCCCGGAGCCGAGCACGGCCGACGAAGCTGTCCGGTCGCCGAACAAACCCAAAGAAAGATCTGTAAGCCGGGCCGATAAGGCTCATTCCACGCCAGGTTCGGACTCCTGCCCACTCCGAACCTCCACGCCAAAGAACTCACCGGATTTCTCGTACTCTGTTAAAACAGAAAAAGACTTAATGAAATCATCTTACTCTCCGAACCCTCATCTTTCTAGTACGTCAGCAGAAACCTCTCTAACAGAACACGGAGACTCGAAATCAAACCTCGCGAACTTATGTGATACAACGGCAAGAAACTCACTCGATATAAGCAAGGCGACGCCCTCCATACCCAACAGCCTCCAACACGGCATCTACCCCTTTGGGAGAATGCACTGCAGCCCGGCCGAGGCGCAGTCCTTCCCCGAGACTGAGCCGGTGGCCAGTCTACCGGAACCACATCGCGAGATTTTTTCAACGTGACGGTTCACTGACCACAACCCAAAAAACCAACATCCGATGTGGTATTACTTTCTGATGAAATACACGCGTCAAAAATAAAAATAGTTTTGATAACGATTCATTCTATAACCTTGCCAATAGACTAATAATCATTCTGGCTATTTTGCTTCTCGTGAGTTTAGTTATATAAACAGAGTGTTTTGTGATTAATTTTTTTTTATTATAATGTGAATGTAGCGTGAAAAGTATCAAGAAACGTGTATATAACCAACACTACTCAAACTAACGCATGTGATTGGGTCATTTGCGCCCTTGTATTTATTTTTAATATACATAATTAAACTAATTTTTTTTCTAAACTGACTGCGTGAATTTACATGTATTGGGTTTTTATGCTATTTATTTAAAAATCTATTTCCCTAAAACATCTGCGTTAAAATATGTGTATGGTTGATGGATTTCAACAGTAGTATGATTGGCACTTAATTATATTTTTTTACTTCTTATTTCTAAGCGTACCACACCCACAAAATCGTTCTTTATGTAAAGGGTGTTGTTGTTTTTTTTTTAAGATATGACAGTACGGTAGCTTTTTATTTCAAATACCACAACCCCACCCTCTTCATTATCGTTTCGAAATATTATAAAACCAAATTTGGCCTGGTACAAGATGTATGCTATCATATTTCTTATCAGAAACTCCCCACACCCAACATACATTGTCACAAACTAAGAACCTCCTCATTGTTATCCCCCCCCCCACCCCCCACTGTGTGCGTGACGTCATCCACATGCGACCCTTTAGCACAAGACAAATCAAGACTTAATGATGCCCTAAAATAAATTAAACTTGTAGCTTTATTTTACTTCCTTAATGTCCATTCAGTAGCGTAGCGAGGGGGGCGGGGACATATGTCCCCGGGCGCCGACCTTAGGGGGGGGCGCCAAATTGAAAGTTTGAGGGGGGGGGTGCAAATGAAAAGTTCGAGGGGGGTGCAAATCGAAAGTTCGAGGGGGGGTGCAAATCGAAAATTTGCTCCCAAGGGGGCGCCAAATTGAAAGTATGTCCCCGGGCGCCGGGAAGGGTCGCTACGCCTCTGTGTCCATTTCTCTAAAATATCAATTATATTCATTCATATAGCTCGTTGGGCGTGGGGATGGGAGGGGGGAATTCGGCAATAAAAATGGTAACCAAATAAACTATTTACAACTAATCATCATCAATATTAACATTACCTTAGGCCCCCGTATAAAAATTAACATCAAGATTAACATTAGCCAGGCACCCAAATCTAAAATTTAAATCAATATTAACATTACCAGACCCTCATACAAAAATTAACATCAAGCTTAACATTACCCAGAGAGCCATTGCTAAAATTAAGATCAACATTAACATTACCCTGGCACTTATTGCTAATATTAATATCAACATCAACATTACCCAGGCACCTATGCAAAAATTAACATCCATATTACATTACTTAGGCACCTATTCAAAACTTTTACAACAGAATTAACATTACCCAGGAAACAATGCAAAAATTAACATCCATATTACATTACTTAGGCAGCAATGCAAAAATTGGCATCCATATTACATTACCTAAGCAGCAATTCAAAAACTGACATCCATATTACATTTCCTATGCAGATTTTGAAAACTTTTACAACAGTATTAACATTACCCAGACATGCAATATATTCAAGTCGATGTAAAACAAGAAATAAAACCAAGACACCCATAGTCTCACTGCAGTGAAAACAACGCCATAAATTAGAAAGTTATAAAAACTAATATCCCTCCCCAATGCTTATCATCCGCGACTTGCTGTAGATCATTTTTTCTAAATTTAGCTTGAAAATTATAAAATAACTGCAGCCCGCCTTGAACGATAATAAAAATATTTACAAAAATTCGGTGTGCGTCGCGTCTATATGCGAATCAGAGTTGCCTTTAGATTTGTAATGTTTTATTTTTACTCGGTGCCAACTGGATTGAGTGTGTAGGTGTGTGTGTGCTTGATTGTATAAATGTATGATCTGTGTGTGTTTTCTGTGTGTGTGTTTAGCATGTGTGTCTGTGAATGTTTGTGTGTGTCTGTGTGTGTCTATGCTCATTTTTGCACTAGAAAAAAAAACAATATTTTTTCTCCACAACAGCAACTATTTAAAAAAATGTGTTAAAGCTTTTAAGGCTGCTGTTGTCATTTAGCTGTTGTACTTCAGATTTTTCTTCTCTAAACCTATAGCGTGAGATTTGTGCTCAATTGATTAATTAAACTAATTGGTTTCCATTTACACCGTGATGTTCGTCCATTTTGTTTGTATCCACTGTGTGCGTTTAATTTTGTTTTCTTAAACGTTTTCGAAGTTTTTGTTAAATGGGAAGTCAACCCACATTTTACTAAACTTGTGAATCTATTACTACATCAATACTATCCTGTTTTGTTTAATATAAATAAATATAACTAATTAAATAAAAATAATTATTAACTAAAATTTTTACTTTTTCTCAACGCTAAATGAAATTGTGAAGTTACAAATCCAAACATATTGTAAGCTTTAATATTATGTAGACCCTCACTCTCAGTGCTTTGTACGTGTATACGAATAAACACATACATGTGTATATATATATATATTATATAAATATATATATATATATATATATATATATATATATATATATATATATATATATATATATATATATATATATATTTATATATATATATATATATTTATATTTATATATATATGAATGTATATATACATGTACTTAAATATATATATATATATATATATACATATGTATATATGTATACATTTAAGTACATGTATATATACATTCATATATATATATATATATATATATATATATATATATGAACATATGTATGTATATCTGCGTGTAAAAAATCGACCGCTATCAACTGACTATAAAATCTGTAGGTTCAGACGGTATGCTAGCCACTATCTTTCATTGCACTTTCCATTGTGAGATAACTAAGACTACAGCATCGATAACCCAGCTACTGTAAGACCCCCAATCGTCACGCGGGGCATGTGTAGTTGGTCATGAAGTTTCAGTGGTAAGCCACTGTCAGCAGTCATTCACAACAGAATGGTTGCTACTTTTGGTCATATCCAGTGGTGTTTTATTTTTTTATTTCTTGAATATTATTAAAAATGAAAATTTGCATAAAATTCATCCCCCCCCCCCCCTTTTTTTTTCCTTTATCCTTCTTCTGCAATCAGATTAGATACTAAAGAATAGATATTTTTAGAACTAACCCTCGTTAATATATATCAGATTAAGCTTAATCCAAAACACACAAAAAAAAACTAAAAAATCTTCAAAAAGTGATGTTATCATAAAAACAAATGATTCTTGTACGACTTCTGTATAGGTGCACACGTGTTTAATTTTAAAAAAAGGATGCTTGACAAAAAAGTATTCAACGACAGATGATTTTCCTTTTACGACGGATGAGACAAGAATGACAGACGGCACTCGTACGACAGACGGCGTTAGTACGACAGACGGTGTTAGTACGACAGATTGCAACCGATCCACTTGTCGCTTTGACCCGATAGACACGTCACGTTTAGTGACCTCATTTTTTTAAACGTCTGGCTGATAACTTTTCGTCTGGTTCACAGAGGTGTCTCCATCTTGTAATTAAATAATTAATTAGATAATTAATTAAACAATCAATCTGACTGTTTCGGTTTCTCTTGCGTCTTGATAACATAATACCGAAAGTTAATACTTTCATGCAGAAAAGCGACTACGAACTTTATTCGTACATTCCTAAATAGAATTTCCCCGTCAGATTACAAGGGACAAGAAATTCTTTAGAATTATTTTATGCATAACAACACAATATTTTTCTTCAATCCTATAAACTCTAAGAAAAAAACTGTTATTAATTTCTAATTTAGTTCTTTGTATGCCATAGAATTCATCGCTTTTAATTGAAATATAAATAATCGAGTTTATAGCTAGCTGCTAATATTCATTGACCTAAACTGAAACCGTAAAAGAGCGTGATTAGTTCAGATTTAATTTTAGTCTTGCACGTTGTCTAGCCAAAATAGAAATCTATATCTATATTTAAAATACCCTTTACATGGTCCTCCCCCCCCCCCCGTATCCGACGTCACACCCCTATATAATAGAAACATTTAAACTCCTGTGTAATTATTCCATAGATTCTGACCATGAAATATGGAGACAACCACATTCGGATCTGAATTACTTTTTAAGAAAATTAATCAAGAAGAAAAAAAAAAGAAACTTGTTTAGCGAATAACACATATGTGACTAATTAATTATTAATTAGGTTTTTTTTTTCGAAAGCTTATCCTGCCCGTAACTGTTATTGGGGTTTTCATTGTGATATAGGAGTGATGATAGAGGCAATTATAATGGGGGGGGGGGGGGGTAGAGGCAGTTATAATAGAGGGTAGAGGCAGTTATAATGGGGGGGGGGGGGGGGGGTAGAGGCAGTTATAATGGGGGGGGGTAGAGGCAGTTATAATAGAGGGTAGAGGCAGTTATAATGGGGGGGTAGAGGCAGTTATAATAGAGGGTAGAGGCAGTTATAATGAGAGTAAAACAATATTAAGAAAAAAGTGGTTAGAAAGGAAGAAGGATGGTGTATAGAACACGTACACATTGTCAAAGTTTTATGTAAGTTGATCCCAGATATCCTGCATATTACAAATGGAATTCACATATACCTAACCCCCCCCCCCCCCCCCCCCACCCTTCATCTTTCTTCTCACTCTCACACACTAGCAACCTCACACGCACACACACACACACACACAAAGAAAAAGATTGTTGTTTTTGTTACATAATACATTAGCCTTTGAACCTATCTATTGATTACCATCTGATACGCCCATGAGACCGGGTCAGTCTGATTATTCCCGATCGTTTGTTCGATTATCTCAAGTACTTCACTTCACTTACCATTTCTATCACTTTCTGTACCAGTAAACATGATGTACGATACCACAAATACACAGAACGACATCACATGTACAAAAAGTACGACACCACATATACACAAAGTATGACACCACATATACATAAAGTACAATACCACTTTTACATACAGTTCAACACCACTTGTACACAAACTACGACATCACATGAACACAAAGTTCGACACCACTTGAACACAATGTACAACACCACATGTACACAATGTACGACACCACTTGAACACAAAGTTCGACACAACATGTACACAAAGTTCGACACCACTTGAACACAATGTACGACACCAAGTATGCCATCTGAGAACTACAATCCTTGAGTTTATCGAAACCATTTTTTACCTTAAAAATATTTAAACATTTCTTAACATTGTGTTACTAAAATAATATGTTAATTAACATTTAATTACATGAGATATATTAGTGACTTCGTTGCTGTGTAATACTGATTTGACCAAACGCCATGACCAATTTTTTTTTAACTTAACCAATGATGTTTTAATTACTTTTATAAATCATGCCATGTTTTTGACCATTTTGAATGCAAATCATGTATAAAAAAATTTTAATATTAAAATAAGCTTTATAAAATATTTTAAAATATATCATGATTTTATGAAAACAATTACCATTCTAATTCCATAAACCCAGCCCTGACAAAATGTTTAGGGAAGGTTTTGACTATATTTTATAGACAATTTTTTTTTATACTATCGCCATTGAAATGTATTGTCTTAATCAAACGAGTGCAATTAATGAGTGCATAATTAAAAGCATATTTATTTTGTTGGTAGAGTGCCAAAAAATATATGTATACATTGTTGAAAAACGAGTAAATGGAATATGGACATTTGGTAGAACTGT